ACACAGACGGGGTCGTCTCAATATGCGTTTTTGCAATTTGCATATAGGCAAAAACGCATAAAAATATACAAATCCACAGGCAGGTCGTCGCAGTATGCGTTTTTGCTGCATGTTGCAGCGCTGTAGCGCTGCGTGGCAAAAACGCATAAAAACCGTAGAAGTTCAGGCCATAAACTTTTTATTTCGGGAGCTGGACAAGAGAATAAGCTGCAGTTCTCGATCTCTGTGCGATCTAATGATTTCTAATTCGACTAATACATATGTCTACAAAACGCGTATAGACACGTCAAAATATTTTTAACGAAAAGTGAACCACCCAAGCTATGAGGCTGAAATTTTACGAGTATGTTTCTGTGCAGCTGCGAACTGAAGATTTTGAATTCAGATCTGAGGCTAACCTAAGTCTAGCGTATGAGCAAGTGAAATTTCAAGCTAGGCCAGTCCCAACATCTCGTTAGTTCAGAGGCCATACAGAATAGTAAGCAGCATTTTTATCAGAATGTCTGTTGCTCATTTGCGTCGCCTTGCTTTCGGACTTGTCAAATGTTCGATTTGCAAACTATCAGCAGTTTTCATTCTCCGAGAAGAGGCAGTTTAGAAGCTAAAATTTCTTGAAAGTAAATTGTCTGAGTACGGCTACAAAAGCATAAAAACAGATCACACTTCGGCGGATACGGCACATTTGAGGTAGCAAAATTGTTGTATCTTTTGAACTCCAGAACCAGAATGAGTACAAAGCTATCGTTGTGCGTGAACGTCCCCTATCCGGATACGGCCTCGAAAACGCAAAATGAGCGTTTACTTAAGCATAGGTCTAGGATTTGGACATGTCAAAGCTTCTTTTTCAAAATTGTGGATATCTTCTCACGGTAATCAGTCATGCAAAATAGCTGAAATTTCACGAGGCACTGCAGCGCGACGCATCTCTCTCTCCCTCCAAACGTCAAATAAAAAAAGTCCCACCAAGAGTACTTTCGTCATGAGTGCACATATCAAACCGTTAAGTGATGGACGTTCTCACTGTTAAGAAACTTACTGCGCTTACTGCTGCACGAAGCAGTGCACTTATGCATGGTCTCACAGCAACCGTGATACGCACCGCTAGTTGTTTATTCGTCAAAGTAGAAATATATTAAATAGGTATCATGTACTGCGTGAAAATAAAACATGACGGTATACTAAACTTATTGCGAAATTTGTAAAAAAAAGTGGTGGGACGAAAGAAATGTATCGGCAGAAATGATAGAGGAAGCACATTACTGCTTAAGCGAGAAAATTGACACATCTATTTGATCGTGAAGAAAAAGCATAAAGTTTCTAAATTCACAGCAGCGAAGAAAAGCTAATGTTACTGATAACAAAATTACCCAGGAATTGCCAGTGGTACCGATGCCTGCGAAACTGGTCGGAACCAGTGATACTCCGGCATTGTTTTGGAATGAGCCGGGTCCACCGATGTTATCCTGGAATGAATTCGACCCGCTTTTACCCGCTCTGTTAGTAGCAACAACAGCATTCACTACATTTGATAGAGCAGCTGTTCCACGAGAAGCTGGAGGACCACTGGATGCTCTTCCTTGAGCAATTCTGGTAGCAACAGTGCCAGAATCCGCCACAGCATTTGGGATCACAGCTGAGCCAGCAGAAGCTCCTACAGGATTGTTCATGGCGTTAATAATCGGCGCACCGTTCGAAACAGCATTCAGCTGACCGCTGCCCACATTGAGATTATTAAAACTATCCACAGTAATGGCAGCGGCCGGCTCCAGCAATGACTCAGCTCCAAAGAGAATCCTAAAAAACCGGAAGAACTTTGCAGTAATGTGAAAACTTCAAACAAAATCAATGAAAACCAAATGCAAGGTAGTAATCGTACTTCCTTGAGTGTTGTGTAGCTACTAATGAGTCAATACTGCTAAAATTTGCTGTACAGGCACATTAATTCGCTTCGACAACCAGTGAGCATCACATTAGTATCCTCAGTTCGCGAAAAATAGAGAGCGCCACGGGGTGGCAGTAAAGACTGGAAGGTAACTAGTCACAGTCAAGGAAGACGTGAAACATTACTGTACATGACGTGTGACTGCATCCGAGTAACGTCACGACGACCAAACTAGCATTGATATTACTGTTGCTTATACACATTTCGGCCAAATCCACCTTTTTGGCTAAAATTTTATTCAAGAATGAGCAATGTTTTTGATTAAATTCTGAAATTCACCGAAATTTGCCAATAAAAGCCGAAAAATTCGGCCTAAATTTTCCGAAACTGTTTTCGCAATTTTCCCCCTCTTTTTCATAAGGAGAATCACTGTCAGTTTTCGTTCATAAAAAGCAAAAATAATCACGATTATAAAACGTGCAAAAATAAAACATAAAAGACTGTGAAAGACTATAAAAACCATTAAAAAAATTTGCCAAAAAAATAATTGGCCAACACACAGGCTTCCCGTGCGAAGATGCGTTTTTTGCATAGTTCCCCGCAGTTTTTGTTGCTACTGGCACCGGCTTTTCCGGCAAATGCTT